CCCACGGATGCTACCGCATTGCAACGTAAAAGCCAAGCTTCAGCTATGGAAGCAACAGCCAAAATTGACATCTTAAAGGAAATCTTTTACCCAAAATAAAATTCCATTCAATAAAAAAACATTTGAAAATACTAAAAACCGTTTGCTATGAAATCAACAATCTGTTTATAAATTGTTTATTTTTTGATTTAGATTATTCAAAGCCTTTTTCAGATATTAATTACCAAAAAACTGAGGAAAAGCAACAAGTACGAACCAAAAGCAAACATAATATCATGAATTTAGGCGCAATAACTTATTTCTTAATTTAAGTGTCCTATCGTGCAATATGCACACAAAAAAATATTAAAAATATTTTCACGGCTGACAGTTTCTATTTTTGTTACCCATTAGAATTTTAACGTAATCTTGCACTTTATAGGTTAACATTTATGAACAGTAGCAGTAGAAAATAAACCTGATTTTTGTAAAAAAAGTGTCTTAATATGTTGTGATTTAATAGACATTTAAAAAATTTATTAAAAATATTCGCATCACTGAACCTTTAGATTTTTTAGTTTAAAGAGTTTCTATTCAAATCATCACTCTTTAGAATGGTGCCATAAACTTTGCGTGCATATATAAATTATTATAAAAGCAGTCGGAAATAAGCTTGTTTTCTGTGGGGGAAATATTTCCTAATACGCAATGGACACTAAATTTAATAAACTTGGATTTTTCACCTCCTGTTCGATCTGCTCCCAAACCACCCCTGTTGTTGCTTCTCATTCACCATCCTTTCTTTTTCTTAAAAATTTATATTTATTAATAAAAGAAAATTATTTTGTTTATAAAATATATTCTATAAAAACATTTCTTTGATATTTAAGTATTAAAGAAATGAACGATTACATGGATTTGGAAAATAACTCAACGGTATTTAAAACTATACTTAGGAATGCATATGTGAAAAAATAAGTATAAATAAATTAGAAGTAATTTAACTCGTTAATGATATAAGACGAGAAATATTCGAAATGTCGATTTTGATAAAAAAAATTTATTATATCTCGATTTTTTTTGTACATTTACAAAAACATAAAGTAATAAAAACCTATTTAAAATGGTAGTGAAGTATAAAAAGGGTTTAGTTTTTTGCCACTTAATAATTTTATTAATATTTTGCCACTTAATAATTTTATCAACCAAAATTTAAATCACAGATAGTTGGATTCAGTGCTGAAGATGCAAACAACTAAAAGGTTCTTTTTTTAAATACAGATGTCCAAGTTAGAGGCTCAACTAGATCAGTGTTCCACTATCATTCAATCAATATTCACTTCCACTGATCCTAATTAGACGAATCATATTCTTATCCCAATAGGAACGTATTCCCATTGGTTGCATCTGTAACTGATCATTAATGAATTTTCATAAAATGAATCCAATAAATGAAGTGATGTCATCTCGGATATATTTATTTGATTTACTGAGATCTAACTGATATCCTATCCACGAAATATAGGAAGCCGCTTTAACAACGAACGTGTTGTCAAAACGAAGGTGCGTCGGCTGCCTTGTAAAACTTAAAAGGTGAAAGACAACTTATGAATTTTGAAATTGATTTATTTAATTATTTGTGTGAAAATGAAGTAAGTTATTGAGTTCACATAAAAGCATTTGAAGTGAATTTAAAGTAAATAGTAGGGTTTTTAGGGTTCTGTCAGGTTTAGAGTTCAGTCCCTTCATCAACAACAAACATTGAAACGGTACTAGACTATCTTCATAATCTTGGGAGATGTGACATTCTTTTTGCCATTGGCATTTTCGACTGATGATATTGACAAAAACTTTTACGTATCTTCTGCTCACATGTTTATCTGAGACAGTGTGCTCCATAAATAGAAAACAATCGAGAATTATGTTCTGTTAGTAAAAATCGTAATGATGAGAGTTGATCTCTCATGATCTGATCCATTTTAGAGAGACTAAACATATTAGATGATGTGATGGATGGAATCCCCTTTTATTCGAGAAAAAGAATGAAGTGTTATGACGTGCGGCATTCTGATTGTCCACAAAATGTTATGACATTCTGTTTGCCCATGTGACGAAAAATAAAATCTTAAAGAATGACAAACAGTTTTGAAAAAAAAATATACCCCAGAGGGTTTTATTTATTTATATTATAATACAGTACATTCAAATTTACAGTATAACACAATACTTTTAATACTATGCAATATTTACATTATACAGGCGTTTCTTTTGTTTTTTTACTCAGGCAATGGTTTTTCTGGATTAAATGGATACTGTCTTTTCTTAATGGGCTTCACAACTGTACGTAAATCCAATGCCTCCAAAGATTCTGAAAGAAATTTTTTAAAAAGTATCGGATGTTGTCTCATTCTTGATCCTTCTTTGGTGCTATGAGTTAAAAATCCACGTTAAAGAACACGACTTTTGAGATTCAACCAGCACTTGAAACATATCGAATACTTTTGATTCAAAAAACACTTGAGGCTTATCCAACACTTCTGATTCATCTAACGATTGAGGCATATCTAACACTTCTGTTTCATCATAAGGCACTTGGGCTCTATCCAACATTCACTTGAGTTCCTCATTCCCTTGAGATTCGTCACATGCGGGTTCGTCATTGCATATCCAACACTAGGATACTGGATACTTGTGGAACTTTAAACTCCTCAGGAAGCATTTGCACAAAGGACTCCGCTGTGGATTCTCGACAAAACCATTACGTAGCCTCGCAAAGACATCAACAGGCTGAGAAAACAGCCAGCAATCAATGCGAGACTACGCAACGTAGACTACGTGACTTAGCATTCACCCCCGCCCCCACGGACGCAACAGCGCTGCAACGTACAAGCTGAGCTTCTTCTCCGGGCGCTACAGTCACCGTAACTTAAAGTTACAGACCAGGCTTCAACCGCAATCGATGCGAGACTACGTAACGTTGAGCTAAACGTACACCCCACCCCCACGAATGCTACGGCATTGCAACATAAAAGCCAAGCTTCAGCTATAGAAGCAACAGCCAGCGTAGCTTCGTATCGACTGCGGTTGAAGCTAGGCCTGTAACTGTAAGCTACGTGGGCTGTAGAGCCCGGAGTTGATGATCGGCTTGTACGTTACAATTAAGTTACACCCGTGGTGGAGGTGGTGGATGCTCGACTCAAGCATTACGTAGCCTCGCAAAGACTTCAACAGGCTGAGCAAACAGCAAGCAATCAATGCGAGGCTACGCAACGTTTGAGCTTAGCATTCACCCCCTCCCCCACAGACGCAACAGCGTTGCAACGTACAAGCCGAGCTTCTTCTCCGGGCGCTACAGTCACCGTAACTTACAGTTACAGACCAGGCTTCAACCGCAATCGATGCGAGACTACGCAACGTTTAGCTGAGCATACACCCCACCCTCTCGGATGCTACGGCATTGCAACGTAAAAGCCAAGCTTCAGCTATGGAAGCAACAGCCAGCGTAGCCTCGTATCGACTGCGGTTGAAGCTCGGCCTGTAACTGTAAGTTACGAGGGCTGTAGAGCCCGGAGTAGATGATCGGCTTGTACGTTACAATTAAGTTACACTCGTGGAAGAGGTGGTGGATGCTCGACTCAAGCATTACGTAGCCTCGCAAAGACTTCAACAGGCTGAGCAAACAGCAAGCAGTAAATGCGAGGCTTCGCAATGTTTGAGCTTAGCATTCACCCCCTCACCCATGGACGCAACATCGTTGCAACGTACAAGTCGAGCTTCTTTTCCGTGCGCTACAGTCACCGTAACTTACAGTTACAGACCAGGCTTCAACCGCAATCGATGCGAGACTACGCAACGTTTAGCTGAGCATACACCCCACCCCCTCGGATGCTACGGCATTGCAACGTAAAAGCCAAGCTTCAGCTATGGAAGCAACAGCCAACGTAGCCTCGT